GCCGGGGTTGGGGAGAGGAGGGGGAGGAGATGAGATGCCAAGGGGGTGCTCAACCAATCTGGGGAGCAGTGGGGTCCAAGTGCTGGTGGTGGGGGGGTGGAGGTGGAGCGGTGAGATGTAGGATATGGGGTTCGGGGTAGTGATGAGTGGGGAAGGTAGGAGTTAGGGAATAGAGAAGGGGGGGGAGGAGAAGGTTTCCCAGCGTCCACCCGCCACCCCTCTTCTCCGCTTCTTAATTTCAGGCTGATGAAATGGACGCCCAGAGGAAACTGCAATCACACATGGCCGGAAAGAGATCAGAAAGGAATCTGAAAAAAAAAAAAAGAGCAGGAAGATCTTGGAGAAAGGAAAAAAAACCAAGCTGAGGAAAAAAAAAACCAGCTGAGGGTGACATCTAGAGGAACCTAAGATGAGGACTAGGTTTTTTAAGAACTTGCTACCAAGCTGAGGAGCACCCCAGGATGGAAATTGGTTGGGGGGTTACCTGGGTGGAAATGTGATTGTTTTTGGGGAAAAAAGGGTTAAAAAGGGTTTTTTTTTAAAAAAAAAGCTGCTCTGGCTTTAGCTCCTGGTTGTCCTGTCACCGCTGTGACGTTGAGCTGGAGCTCCATGAGTGACTGGGATTGGAGTCACTGCTGTGATGAGTTTTGTCCTGCCTCAAATATGAAGAAGGAGTTGAAGGTTTCTTCTTCTTTCCTATGAAGAGAGGAGTTGAAGGTTTCTTCTTCTTTCCTATAAAGAAAGGAGTTGAAGGTTTCTTCTTTCCTATGAAGAAAGGAGTTGAGGACTTCAGTGAGGAGAAAGAAACACAGTTGGAGAGAGGAGGGACAGGCAGGGACAGGACTTGGTGTCACAGCCCCTGTTTTGTCCCTTTGATGGGTGCTGGATGGGCAAAGAGTCACCAATGCTATGGGGAGCAGATTCTTTGTGGAGGGGTTTGGGGGAAGTAGGAGAAGGTGCTACGGGGAGCAGATGGTTTGTGGAGGGGTTTGGGGGAAGTAGGAGAAGGTGTGAGGTGGGACCAGGGGTGTGGGGTGTGAGCAGGGACTTCTTTCCCAACCCTAAAATTTGGAGATTTAAACCTTGTGGTGTTGGGTCTCTGAGACTCCTGGAATATATCAAGGTCCTGGTGATGGAGACCCAGGCACCTTGGGGTGCTGGTGACAGAGGGTTATGCACCCGGGGGTCCTGGTGATGGAGGTGCAGGCAGCTGGGAGTTCAGGTGATGAATGCTCAGGTACCTGGGGATCCTGATGATGGAGGCTTAAGAACCCAGAGGGCCTGGGTTTGGTGTTTCAGGCACCTGGGGGTCCAAGAGGACCTGGGGTTGGTGTTTCAGGTACCTGGGGATCCTGATGATGGAGGCTTAAGAACCCAGAGGACCTGGGTTTGGTGTTTCAGGCACCTGGGGGTCCAGCTGATGGATGCTGAGGCACCTGGGGATCCTGATGATGGAGGCTCAAGAACCTAGAGGTCCTGGTGTTGGTGGTTTAGGCACCTGGGGGTGCCAGGGATGGAGGCTGAGGCACCTGGAGATCCCTGTGATGGAGGCTCAGGCACCTGGGGGTGCCAGTGATGGAGGTTCAGGTACTTGGAGGTCCTGGTGATGGAGGTTCAAGAACCCAGAGGTCCTGGTGTTGTTGGTTCAGGCACCTGGGAGTGTCAGTGATGGACATTCAGGCACCTGGGGGTGCCAGTGATGGATGTTCAGGTACTTGGAGGTCCTGATGACGGAGGTTCAAGAACCCAGAGGTCCTGGTGTTGTTGGTTCAGGCATCTGGGGGTACCAGTGATGGAGGCTGAGGCATCTG